GGAATGTAATAGAGGATTCCTGTGTGTACTTCTACAAGTACCTGTAGATAGTGTACGTCTGAGACTTCTGCTGTAGATATACTGGTGGAAATGTAGAAGTGCGAGAATATTACCAAATGTGTTACATGTTACCGACGAAGTTGCAGTTTCAGGTTATCAGTATAAATGGTGTTGGTGTACATTGTAGCCTCTTCTTTCAAAACCTTCCACATGTATGTAAACAATACATGGAGTACCTATAAGTCTACAACATGTAAACATTCCACCAAAAAATTGAATCAAGTCTGAAGACGCGAGACTATAAGGTAGCCTAGTTTCTTGTATTTGCATCCAGGGGAGCCATGAATCTACATGTACATATTGCCATGGCACCTAGCTAGCTAGCTACCCTGGGTATTTAAACTTATGCTTGCCTTTATTCCTAATCAGAATATTAGATAGCGCAAAATCAGACATCACAACTCCCCAACACTTTTGAAACTAAGATAGAGTGACGATACTCCGGTCTAGATTTATGGGCCTGATCAAGGATTGTCACTTGATGTGGGACTGAATAATATTTTATTAATTTATTGGGCCTATTGTTGTCTAGTAGATTTTAGAAGAATGTTTGAAAGCATTTCTGTTTCCTTTTGCTTTCTGCATCCCCAAATATCTAAGTTATTAAAAATACCTTTGATGTTGAATGTGCATCTAGCAGTGTGGTCTAAGATGTATTATTTAATAAATCTCAATAATCTTCTTTTTCACATACTTAAGAAATATTATTCAAAAAAGCAGTATTGTATAGTTTTTATCTATATTTTTGAAAAGATCATCCTTTTTATGTTGATAAATTGGTAATGGTAGCTTTTCTTGAGACAAAAAACAGAGCGCAACGTTTGGAGAATAACAACAATTTAAAACTCATGGGTAGTGATAAAAATATACTGGGCTTAAGCTAACTACTAAAGAATCAACTTTTAATGAGAAGGATGGGTATCTGGAGATAAGTCCCATGGTGTGAAGATTTATTTTGTATGTTTGCAGATGATCTGGAGCTTGCTTTGTTCAAGATATTATTGTTTAATTTGCTCAACTAATGATTTGCCCAGGATTAAAAATTCTTACAAATATAGAGTGTAGCCTTGTAAAAACTGAAAGATGTCATACAACTGTACATCCATGGCAACCGTGCGTCCAGGCATTCTGACGATTTTCTGTGCAATGTCTTAGTACACAGAGACTAGAAATTAGAGGTGGGAAGAGAGAGCTCATAAGAAAGGTGGGTATGAATGTCTACCGGTAGTTAGGGGATACAATTTAATTTTATTCCATTAACCTTTTACTACAGCAAGTCTTTTATTGATACATATCAACACAGTCATAGATGCGCTAACTCAAGGAATCATTCATCCCATAATGTATGTGTGTGCAGAGTGCTGACTACCTGTATGTGATCTACAGGAAGTAAAAGTCATCATTAAATTTGTATCTATAGAGAAACAACTCTGATATTTGAAAAGATAATGCATACAGTTTTATAGCTACTTTTTCAGAATACGGTAGATATCTCCCAGCATGATCTTTTCACAATACGAAATTTGACTACCGTGGCACAATAGAAGTTTTGATTGACATGTGAATCCCCAGAATAAAAAGGTCATGATAGCTAAGCCCCGCCCTTTCAAAACATTGTGCAGCTTGACTAGCTCAGACATAAAAGTCATTTTGTATTCAGTATTATGACTCCAATGACTCACTCATTGTATTATGTGCCCTTCAAATGTTGAATGGTGAATTGAATGTCCTAGGATTCTTGAAGAAACAGAATAGTTTGATTTGATAAGGTCCCCCCCCCCCCCAACAACAACAAAAAAAGAGAAGGAAAAAAAAAGGTGATATTGGTAGTTAAAATTTACAGATTGAAAATGTATAATGGAAGAGGTACTGTATGATTAAGAACAATTCAGCAATAATTGATTAATAGATTTAAGCACTACTCCCAAAATTTGAAGGAGAAAAAAATTGCATATAGTTGATAGACCAAAAATTCAGAGAATATATATTGTTGCTTTGCTCTGTCATTTACGAGATATATTATAGACAATCTATGGATGAAGTGCATTAAGTTCACCTACAGAGAATAGCATTGCTTTGGTCTATATCATAAACATTTTATTGCATTTCCAAAATCATGTGGCATGGAACATTTAGTTTTTATGAAAAATGGGTTCTAGAATGCAAGGAGTCTATTTGGTCAAATGACCATACGTGACCATGCATCATTCTTTTTTACCATGCCTTCCATGCTAAAACTTTCCCAAATGCCTTCATGTATGCAAAATTATGATGCTATGAAATACACGGAAACAGCAAAACTGTAGACACATATAGGTGGCCTTTCTAGACAGGTCCTACAACACACATTTCTTCCTAGAGGGAACAATATATACATGTAACTGGCCACTGTAGAGAGGTGGCAACTAAGGCAGGTTTGATTAAAGTTTCAAATGTCATTGAATAAGGCAAATAGCTGCCTCCGTGACTGTGCTACACTAGGCGTTTGTTGCCTATTTCTCAACTTTATGTCGTACTTCCTGTTTTATAAAACAAATGATCCATGTTTAAAAGCATGTGCATTAGTGATATGCACTCAGTAAAGTCACAATGAGCCAGATAATGAACTTGACCTGACCGGTCTTGTTCATTATCCAGGGACTGACACCTAAAATACGCCCAGGACACATTTATTCCTAAAATTGTAAAATTCAAACATGTGGCCCATAAATTCCGCCTCTAAAAGGTTCTATACAGAACATCTTCCAAAAAACTTAGTGTGGAGCCATGCATATCCGACTGTGACTTAATTTGCATGCAGTGCATATTCAATAATGCACTCACAAACATGAATTATTTGTTTACAGACACGGAAGTGTTGCAGTTGTTTGCAAGTTATTTTTGCAAACAAAAATTAATGGCCAGTTTCCCCTACAGAGGGCGACCGGTTGTCTGACCGATTAACAAGCATTACTATTGCATAACTGGAACGGAGCGGGAGAGGTCGTATGTTTTGGCGACGACGGTGACTTCGCTGAAGCCATCGTGCCATGCCAAACGTTTGTATCCACGTTTGCAGAGTTGGAGCGATGCCAAATGGTAGTGAGCATAAAGCTATGTAGAGGAATGCAAAGGGGGCATGTGAGGTAGGGGCAGGCAGGCAGGCATGAGAGACTGAAGAAAGGAAATTCAGAGAGAGAGAGAGAGAGAGAGAGAGAGAGAGAGAGAGGAAGAGACGAGTAGATCGGAGACAAAGTAAAGAGAAGAGTTGATAGACAAAGAGGAAGGAATGATATAGGCCAAATACTACAGGCCTGAATTATTTGAATGAAGAGAGAAAAGAGGGGCAATCTTAATAAGGGGCTAATGCGAGAGAGGGTGCAGGTGATTGATGACGAGAGACAGAGAGAGAGAGAGAAAGAGGGTGTGGGAGAGAGAAGTGAGAGATAGAGAAAGAAAGGGAGAGAGAACTGCATGAACCCGAGTAAGGGTAGAATGAGTTGTGAAACATTATACCTTGATATGTGCGCTATTAATGGATACCATCAGTAACTAGTATGAGAGCATAACACAAATCAGGATCATTAGCTCACTGGTCATGTATACATACGCAATCATTCTCAGAGACCAGATGTACCTTTGACTTAATTCTATCGCAGCAAGCAAGCAAGCAAGCAAGCGTACGATATATCGCCAGGTCTGCCTCAAAGTTCCACGACCTCAATCTCTGATTCTCTTTCGCCCTTGAACCTGGAGTGGGATAGCACCAAGTTAGATATTTTGTGTGGATTTAGCCTCGTGCTGGAGGGTTTAAAAGGACGCTTATCTGGGATTTCATGGTATTTATTTGAGGGGTCATAACCCATGTTGTACAACCAGGAAGAGATGTCACTTCCTTGCAATAAGAGATCCAAGCCGAAACAATGCTGTGAGCAGGATAGCCGTACCCTGGTAAGACGGCAAAGTGCATGAGTGGTACTACCAGGATGCTCCCAACAGGCACACATGACACCATATATTATCAAACATCTTTATTTTTGTTTAGCTTACAGGGAAAAGTTCCATTTCCTCCATTTGTTAACATTTTCAGAATTGTTACTCATAAGTGATCGATATATCACCTTCTACATCAAAGTGCCTCCCCCCCCCCCCCTCATTATTAACCCTATCGCTTCTACAGTATAAAGATCACTCACGCTGAAGCCATCTACATGTATTCTGTGAAGAGAAATGTAATTTGCATACTAATGTGCATGGTTTCAGATCAATGTGAATAATTTTACCTGTCGATAATTGTCAGTAATGTTAAAGAGAAGAATAAAATGGTAAATACCGTGGTCTGTTTTATGTCTCATAATGTGTTGGAACACTGTCATTATTTGAGTGTGAAAAATAACTTGTTGCTTAAACTGTTGAAATGATTTGCAAAATTAATAATACATCTAGAACACTAATCTCAGAATCCTGCAGCTCAGTCTCTGCAATCCTGTGAAATATTTATCATAAACATGTACTATCGTGAATTATACAAATTGATCAACATTGATATTGCCTTCTTGCTACTTCTTGTATTTCTTTATTTTTGCAGCAATATTATGTTTCTAATTCCTTTTCCTGTCTCCATATATATTTCATTTGTGTTGATCATTAATTTTCATATCTGAATTGTTCTTTGATTTACATTCTATACTATAAAAAGTTAATACCAATAACTGATTCTCTAGCTTTAGACAGACAAATTTATGATTCACCAAAAATTCAGAATTGATCAAACAAAATTAAAAGATATATGCAATCAACTATATTTATGTTTGTGATAGTAGGTGTATTCTGAACTGATATTCATGTTAATTCTTTCTTATTTTGTTTTTCTACATTTTACTATCTCCTTCTGCCCTCTTACTTCTCCATCATATTCTTCTTCCCTTTTCTTTTACTCTTTTTTCACATTCTTATCACAGTTAAATGTCATCCATATGCATATGGAGTTGAAAAAGAAGAATATTGAGGAATTGATGGAAAGATTTGGAACCGAGCAGCCACCACCTCCAATATTTCTTGAGGTAAGACTTTTATTTTTCTACAAAAATAATTTTTTTATTTTTATAATTGAATGATCAATCTTGTACTGGTCACTTGTTTCAGCTTTGTGTGGGAGTTATGGAATTGAGATATTAAATATGCATAGCTTCATTTTGGTTAGTAAACAGATTAAAGTATGGACAAATCTTCAGACATTTAGTGTATTCATTCTATTGAAAGTCACCCATTTTAGTACATGATACTAATGTATACAAAACCAGAGAGTAAATTATGACTTATTTAACGCTAATGACACATATTAATGAATTTGGCTAGGGCTAGGAAAAGTCTATTCAGTCATGCTTTGAAGTAAGTAAACATTATTCTCAATTCACAATTTAATGATGCCACAGAAGTTATAAAGAAGGTCTACATGTAGATGTAAGTGATATTTTTCCTTCAGAATACTGGAAAGTATTGCAGCCTTTGCTGATATTCTTAATATTGAAATGAGGAATGAGTGGTATGTGATGGGTATAGAAAGATAAGTCTTAAAATAAACTGAATTTGACTTTTCATAATATATCTACTTTCCAATAAGGACTTTTAAATAAGGCATATGCTTTTTTAATTACAGTATGATCGCGTCATCAGATATATTATTGGCCCCTCTGCCTCCTTGAAAACTGCACTCCAAATTTGTGTCGCAAATTCAGTGTGTACTTCCAGAGGGCTAAAACATGCACAAAGGCCTATAGATTGGTTGTGATTGCATCTAGAAATGTTTCTTATTAAATCATTTGACAATAGCCTCAGACTGGGTCAGTCCATCTAACGAATCTAAACTAGCAATATTTAATAGGGTACTAAGAAATGTTTAACTCAGGTATGTTAGATTGCGTTGCACAACGGAGTAAGTTCTGGTATGCTAACAATGCCAGGGGTTCATTTTGAGAGTCAAATTTAGACCAGTTCATGCCAGAGAGGGAGAGATGCTTTTGAGTTTGTGGTCTGTAGCACTGACGTAACAATTTTATGTGAAAGAAAGACACATTTTTTTCTCTGAAACAAAGTGTTAACAGGGATGCAATAATATATTGGTGTATTCCATATTTTCATTTGTAGAGAAAGAACATTGGTGTTTATTTATAGAGGTTTGAAATAAGTTTTGAAAATATACATGTTCATTGATGGTAAACTGGTCTTGGATGGCTTTAGACTAGTTTCCAAATGTTTTCAAATTGTACATAAAACAAATCTTTCCCAAAGTATGTATCCACTCCATTGACCCGATACCAGTTATTGTACTTCAGTAGTCTTGGGTGCAGGTACCGTTACATTAGATTTTGCTTTATGTACATGTAGGCCGACATGTTCACTCCAGTCCAAACATCACGATGCAATGATTGGATTGCTTTGAAAGAAAGCCTTCTCATTCAGCAAGTCTTTGGCAAGCTTTTACGCCATTTCAGGCAATAGAGAAAGTGAATCTGTGAACTGTATTCTGGAGGTAATAAAGGCCAAGTATCTCAAAAGAATAATCTTTCATTGGACACAATTAAATACAAATACAGACAAGCAAAGGATGAAGATATTTCAGTCATTTCTGAAAACTTTTGCAGGGACTTTATATCACCTGATCATACAGTCTTGTTTGTGTATTGCTTTCGAAAGCTGTCTGGACTGCATTACAAATAAGTTTGTATGGTTTCTAACCATAAAGGTGTATTGTTGAGTAAGAAGTTATGACCTAGATAAGAACCACTTCAGCTTCGGTTTATAATCATCTTCTCCTCATCTGATTCTCTTCATGTCAGCAAACTTTTGTCTGCAAGTTTGCTATAATCCAACCTCTAAAAGTCAATGGCCAGAAGAACTGGAAAAGAGTCTGATGCCAACCTGGAAATATCTGATACAATAATTTTGACCATTGAACATTTATGAATATAGTTCTACTACATTGGGTGAACTTTCCAAGTGTTCTTTGATTAAACCAGGTCACCAAGGGGTAGGGGAGGGGGGGGGTTCTGATGGGAAGCTGGCAATATTGTCAGTGACTTCTGTTCATATTATTTGTTTATAATCCAAAACACTCTTCTGAGGTGAATATATCAGATGATGTAGTACTGACCCTTTTCTTACAAGTTGCATGTACTCTTGTTCAATACATTAGCCTTTACGTGCATGAATATAATGCCTATCATGGCGCTGGATTTCAGAGAAATAAAGCTGGTGAAACTGAACCTTTACAGAGAAAGAGTCCAGCGTAAAGATTTATGAGCAGTCTTTCCTGGGGCTCAATTTACCGTAATTGCCAGCGGTATCAGCAATTCTCTGAAATGACTTGCTTCGTTCCAAGCCTCAAATTATTATTTTCTCAGCATTCTGCTGGAGGCATTATTGAATAATAAATAAATTAGGTAAACATAAGTTTTATTGACAGAAATACATGCCCCCATGGGGGGGGGGGGGGGGTGTTTGAGAAACAAAACAAACCTTTCAAACAATGATAACTTTTCAAGTTCATGAAATACAGTGTATTTTGCTGGTAATGATAGAAATGAATGTATGATGCTATAAAAGAAAATACAAAGAGAAATTGATATTATACCTGCTCATGTGTATAAATTTAGCTGCATGTTTATACAAATATAGATTAATAATTCTATTACTCGACATTTTTCAGAAAAGGGCACTGGCGCTGTCTGAGCCATCCCATGAGAAAAAGGAGTCTAAAATGGATATGTGCACCCACGATATCCTATATGTGGTAGCGTACATTATTAAGTCATGTGGTGTCCCTGGCGCTTGTCTGGCATGCCAGGCAGTGTCACGAGGGCAAGGGGGCTGATCCCATTGCGTCATGGGCAGCATCCGATGACGCAGTAAGGGAAGAGAAGGAGGGACCGACCGACAGATATCTTCTAGCAACTCCGTGTCCACTTTGTAGTGATGTATTGGATTAAATGTACTGGTCAGCCTGGTGTAAAAATCAATTACACTTTAACAATTCAAAGGTTTATTGTACGTGATTTATGTAATTGTTACCTCCTAGATTGATAAAGAAATTATCAAAATTCTGTCAAAAGCAATCTTGGTTATAATTTAGGTCACTGATATGTTTGTCTTTTCAAAGCAGAGTTGGATTTGTTTGTTAATACATTAGCTGTATTCAAGACAAATTATACTGTCTTGGAGTTTGACGCTTTTTTACTTGCGAAAAACACTCCCATACGAAGTTAATTTATGCACAAGAGATACACATGTATATGTAGAATTTTGTAAATATCAGACGAGTGTAACTTTGTCAGATATGTGGTTACAGTTTTACCACTATGCTTGAAGAACATGAATTTGAATTGGCTTGATTTTTGGTATATGTTTTGTGATGAGATTATTAGAAAAACAATGGTTGTTTTCTCTTTATTATTCCTAATCCTAGGAATACCAAGACCTGACGGATCAACTGAGTGAGTTACAGGTTGAAGAACAGAGGATTAACAATGAGATGAGTAATGGGCACACCTCACCGAACCTTCAGACCACACCCCCTCCAGAACCAGCAGATCTCCACGTACCCTACCATAACAAACAGAGCCTAGCTCCACCCCACAAGAGGGAATTCACAAATCAGCAACATCCAAAGTCACCGCTTAGCCAGTCAGTTAGGGCTTTCTTGCCAAATCAGCAGAGAACATCGGTAAGTTCCCAGACAGAAACCTTGGGTGGGGAAGGAGTAGGGGAGGGGGAGGGGTCAGCATTGGAAAAGTAATCATAGTTCAGTTCACCTGTTTATTCTGTCATTGAGGAGGATAGATCTAAGGCTAGCTTTCGGAAATGTTCAAGTACATCGTCTGCGAAATAATGTAAAACAGGAAAGCTTCAAGTGCACAAAACTTTTGTGAGTGGTCGACATTCACTAGTCTTTCATGCCACAAAACATTAGAATTACATTGAATCACAACATGAGGTATTTGTAAGTCACAAACATTTACTGCTGCCAAAACAACTGTCTATGTCCTTAAAATTCTCTGGTTTTACATTTTATACAAAAATTCAACATTTCTGATTTTGTAATCTCTCAGAGTAAAGAGCTCTCTACGCCCCTGCATCTACCAACCCTGGATGTCTTCATTTACAAAGTGCAGTACGATATTAGAGATTTAGAAAAAACCAGGGATAACTATATTGAAACGACACCTCTATCAGAAAACTTGTCACGCTTCTCAAACTCCTTATGTTGTGCTAATGTGCTGGCTGAGATGAGATGGCAATGGTTCAATCTTTGGTGATTGTCTCTTCTCTCTCTCTCTCTCTCTCTCTCTCTCTCTCTCTCTCTCTCTCTCTCTCTCTCTCTCTCTCTCTCTCTCTCTCTCTTTTTTATTTTCCCTTGTTACCAGGTCTGTCCCTATCCCAGTCCCAGGCATGTCTGAGATTTGATTATTCCTTTGTGTATCGCTGAAGCAATTTGTTAAGTTGTCATAATATAGGACTGCGGGAGAGAGGGGGTGAGAGTGCATGTGACGGAGCACCAGACCTTCCCACTCCCTCCGTCTCCGTAGGGTTAGTCAAACATCGCCTGTGGTGCACAACTTATTAGATAGCTGTTGGCAGTCACAACCCGCTACTAAATTGCTCAAATTGCACTCGAAATAAAGACACCATGCACACATGGCAATCCCGGTCCTGTGCCGATGGAAACGTGCTAGGTATTTGCGGCTATGGTAACCGCCGTACTGCTGAGAAAGATAAATTAGGCAATATCTAACTAGACATTAGCGAATGGTTGATTCTTTTACTAGGTATCACACTATTTCAGTCTCCATAGCACTAGCTTTGTCATTGTTTTATCATGACGGCTCATCATATTCAGGTCATGCTAAATAATCATCATAAGCCTTATCATAGGCATAACAACTAGCTCACACAAAAAGAGGATTATGTATGATTACGGTTTGGTTTCTGTATATCAGATCTCTTCCAATGGTTGTGGAGTGTATCCAACATCACTGCTATTCTCTTTTCTATCTTTGTTCCTTCTTCTTTTGTGCTAGTTGCCACCATATACCTCTTTTGATGAAGGTAGTGTTGGGTGCATAAGGTAGTGCCGGATGCATGATTACTTTTCTATTTTCAGTCATGATTTCTAGTATTATATCTAAATGATTATTAATTAATTAAATTGAATTAATCATAAAAATGGTGAGCGTGATGAAAAGACTTTCAGGCTACCATGTGATTGGAATATTTGATGAAGAAAACAAAATGACATACTCGTAAAAAGACCTAGACTCCAGAAAGTGATGTGAATCGAAATGGTCAATTATCATGCTGAAATCATTATTAGTATCATATTAATAACTGTCCTACCTCTTTAAGTCTAACATTTGTTTAAATTCGCTTAAATGTATCATGTAAACTTCCCTTTGGCATTAAATGTACCTACCCATGGTTAAACATGGAAACCCAACCAACCACATACTGAAATGTGCTGAGTCACATAGTAATGAGTAGAATGTGTCTCGGTAACCAGACTACCCTTTCATTTGATGTCCCAGGGTAGTGCGTGAGGATTGTATTCCAGTCATCCAGGGTTGCCTGCCTCCTCTTATGAATTATTCATGAAGTATGTTAACCCACTGCAGCTTCTCACTCACTCTCACAGTTGCTGGATTCAAGCCTTCTTGAGACTATTTTTTTTAATCGTAATTTCAAGAGTGGAACCATATTCCTACATTTGCATTAATTTAAAGTATACCAATCACCAAAGAGTTCCATGTTGCTATCCTGTATTCACAATGTGAGATTCATAAGAGTTATTGTTATACTTTAGAGGAAATGACAAAAATAATGTAGAACCAAATACACCAGTGTCTCATGCATAAAGAAAGATAATATAGATGATATAGCAAATATTTTAAAGTTTTCTGTTGGGTAGAAGGAAGATATAATATTCACAATATTTCGAGGGCCGTTGAAATTTGCTTATTTCTGTTCATAACATATGTACAGAAGACATTTTCTTTTGTTTACTGTGAAGCTTTTATGAATAATGTACCTCCCCTCAAGTTCAGCATTGAGACATAAATATTGCATCTCTCTACATGTATGCTGATATATTGCATAGCACTTTATCAATACATTGTGTTATGGCATTGCCCTGGGATTACCAGATACTCGCATCAAAGTCTGGTTGTGGCTGGTGGTGTAATAAAGAGTTGAAATTCAAGGAACGTGCATCTACAGTACATGAGTATTGGGTTTTGTTTGATTTCATTTTGATGAGTTCAGATTAGAAAATATATTGGGTTGCTCAACACTTCAATGTTCCTTCAAGGTGTAATTTAGAAACGTCTAAACCTAGAGTGGACAATTTCTATGTCATTTAGAATAGTGGATTTGGAAACAAAATTAAAAATTAGTACTGTGCTTTTTGTTGGTAAGGCATTTGCCTTCAATTAGTTGGTCTCTCAGATAGGATGTATGGTTTTAGGTCCCTTGAAAATTACATAGAAGTTTGTACTTTCTTTCTCGCATTTAGGTCAAAAGGTTGACTGCATGGCATGCAAGTCTCTTTTTTAGAATATGTGTTCACACTTTTCAAGCAAACTTTTAATTTTCAAATATGAGTAGCTTTCCGTGCAATGTACTTCTCTTTAAAAAAAAAAAAATATTAGTGAAGTGTGGTTTGTCCAAAATGTAGGATATAATGGATAATGGTGACCAGCATCTAATCGTTACAGATATTGTGTATAAAGCCATTGCATTCTGGCAGAACAGTAGCCCCAAACTGAACACATTTTTACTAGGGAATCAACCCATCTTTCACCTCTCTTAAATCTGTACTTGAATCTGAAACCGAAACACCATGGAAGATAAGCAAATTGATCCTCAATACGCCAGACTTGATACCCCTGGATAGTAACCCGATACCTCATGTAATGCCCCGTCTGTAATTTATCACCCGAGATGTGACTCTATTGGTGTTAGTTGTGAAGATCAAATTGTGTTCATCATCTTGTGATTATTTAGGTTGAGTTTCTTGATGACGGGCTTCCTAGAAAGTCCTGGTAGTCTAGCGAACTAGATTCTTGGGTTATTAAAAGCTCAGGATTATTTATGTGCCTCCTTTCCTGTCAAATTTCTCTACATTGCACTACATATAAAGCTACTCAGTCTGTGCTAGCTGTAAGGTAGCTTCATGTCACCAAGTATAAGATTTTTGTTAAAGAGGAAAATATAAATTAGCAGTCAACAAACATGTAGGCTTGCATTTTCATTGGAAGTACCAGTATTCTTTGCTTCTTACTGTCTACCAGATCCAAAACACGTGCATAGGAATATAGTTCATATATTTGGGTTTAGAAAATATAGCATCTACAGTGTACTCTTTGTCATACAGTTTAAATATTTTACATTCTCATCTTCACATGTAAAGAATGTGTTGTTTTATTATTGTATATCATTTAGCAAAGTAATCCAAAATTTGGAAATCTTATACATTATTTGATATTGGTACAATTGAAGACTGATATACGACTGAACTCTCTGATAGTAATCTGTGTGACCTACATTTCTCTGACATCTTTTTCAGTTCAAACCAGTAATGCTGTGCATAGAGCTGCCCCATCTGCGCACTTTGCGTGCCAGAGCCTGAGAGGTCATTTCACATTAAAAAGAAACAATTCCTAGATGGTTTTAAGAATAGATTTGGCATGTGAACTGGGCCAGTGTGTGTGACCTATAGTTGTGAGATCTCTCTCAGTAGTGCTGTGCAGCTGTGCACAGGGCTGCCCCAGTTGTGCACTTTGCATGCCAGAGGTCATTTCACATTAAAAAAATAATGTCCCAGATGGTTTTGAGAATAGATTTGGCTTGTGATTAGGCCAGTGTGTGTGACCTATAGTTGTGAGATCTCACTCAGGGAGCCATCAAGCTAACACCAAGTGACATTCAAATCTAGGGCTCATTTTCAGCTGTGATGTCAATTCATGATAATCAGTCTGTCACACAAATCTTAGATACATGTATGTAGCGAGTAAGTGCTTAAGGACTTCAGCACCCTACATCATCTATGCATCCATATACTGCATGAATTATGATTGTCATATGTTTTTGTTTTTTAATGCAATAGAGAAAACTCATTGTGTGCATATAATTATGTATGATTAGAGAATACATTAGTTATGGAACTGTGTTTATAAACTTATGAGGAGATTAATTTTCTCGCTTCCATTCATCCACTGTACATTGCTATTTGTTGTTGATATTTGGATTAGGAAGAAAACAAAATAATCTGAATATGAAAGATCCCGCACTACAACATGCATCAAGGATCAGCATAGAAAATGTAGTGTACACTATTAATGACATAGTTTTTAATAAAATTTAGCCATTTACTTGCATGGTTGTAAGGTTGCAATATACATAGACGAAACCTTGTTTTCTGGAATCAGTATACCTTATTTCTTTAGTCTCTCATTTGTCCTTTAAATATTATTTTCTTTTCTTTTCATTTCGATTATTTATTTTGTCCTCTACTTTCCCCGTCTCCTTCTGCTGCTTTTTCTGCAACCCAATAATTCAGTCAGTCAAAAAAATTGAACAATCATGCTACTTTGCTAACATTTTCTTTCCTGATGCAGGTACTAGCCAAGTCTGGAACCACCCTCAAATATTGTCTCTCGAAAGCCATGAAGATGAGGGAGTTAACACCAGAGATGTGCATAGTGTATCGAGTCAACCCCAGGATGGCTCTGAGCTGGGATACGGATATGATGTACCTGGCAGGAGAAGAAGTGAGTAGTTCTTTCAGATTCATATAAACTAAAGCCAATGAATGAAACATATGGTAATGGTGGTTGAGGATATATTGTAGTGGTGTCAGGGATGGCGATGGTTTTGGCAGCAGTGGTGGCTGCAGCATTGATGGTGGTGGTGGTAGTGGTTGAGGTGGTATTGGTTAAGGCTGTGCATAACCGTGTAATGAGGTACTGGAGTACACTCCCAGGCTTACACGCAAATACTCTAATACGCGGACGCCATGTTTTTTTTGTTTTTTTGTTGCCACCACCATACAACTGCAGCAGTATCCCAGGTCCGTCCTCAAAAAATTACACAACTTTACTTCGATTTGCAGTTGAAGGCGCCAATTAAATAATATTAATAATAGTAAACAATGCTGTTTTAAAAAACAAAGATGACAAACTAATCCATTTTCCTCCGAGTCCAAACAGAAATCCAGACATTTAGTCCCATTTTCTGAGTGGTGAGTTGACAGTGATTGAGCTGGGAAACATTTTTACCCACGGTACCATACCGGCGCTCTCCCGGCCGCTGGGCACGGGTAAGCGTCGGCCTGGACAGTGCCAGGTGTACGGGGGGGAAAAAAAGAAAAAAATGGCGGCCAAGTAGTTGTCAACAATGCAAATACTCGAGTTTTCGACTACTTGTCGCAGCCTTAGTATTGGTAATGGAAAACAATGCTGATGGGATAGTCAAGATGGAAGTAGTAATACCGGATATCGGATAAGACATTAAATGGAGCCCCGTGTAGAGGAGAGTCACCACCTATGCACCTTAAGAACCCACTGCACTATTCTTATAAGAGTTGGGGGAAACCCCGGTGTAGTGGTCCACCTGCACACCCCCAATCAGTTATTCCGGGAGGAGAGACCCGAGGGTTACAGTGATTCAGTTCGCTTTTCGCCTCCCAGGCACAAGTGACGCCAAATACTTAATAATAATATATGTTCATCCAGCTTTACAGAATATATGATATAAGTCTGCTGGTGAAAGCAGATATAAGGAAATAAATGAAAGTGATATAAGGAATGGTAATCATATCGTTTAGGTTTGGAAGCGAAATACCATTCATGACAGAATTATAACCTGTAGCATCTCAGACTCTTAACCCTCGTCTCTAAATTGCTGCTATGCTGAATAAAAAATGAATGCATGGATGTTTTTGTAAAACTTTCTTGTATACGTACAATTCAGTTTTTGAGAGGTTTCCGCCATGATGTAAATACTGGCAAGATAGATATGTAATGTAATATATATTTGAAATCTAATTAAATTTTTAGTTTTGCTCTTTCTTCACAGATATCTGTAGAACTGAAAGCCCAAAATTTCCCAGCACCAAGTAGCATATCACATAATTTTGTAAGTATCATTAAATTATATGAAATTCAAGTTTTCTGTTTTGTTTATATATGTTTTATTCTTTGTAATTATTTAAAGTACATTTCAGAGATTTTGGGGGTTAGCATTCATGATTTGAATGAAGAAGCTTGACTTGCATAATGTGAGGTCAAGAGCTGCTTTTATCTTTGTAGAAAGAAAAATGGGAATATCACGATATACTTTTCTCTTTGTAGTTTTGTAAATTTATAGGGCTTTGACAGAAATCTTTTTTTGTCTGAGGTAGAATTCTAAAAAGCAGAGTATTTTCTCAGTATTATTGGGTGTATGCTCCATCGGTGATGAAAAGAGAAATGATAGATAGTGAAACGGTAACATTGCCGGAAGGTAAAATCTGCCTCACAGCAGTGATACAACGTGTAATTCCAGAAAACAATTTAGTTGACTTATAAATGATAAGATACATCAGATAGCAAGAACAATACAGTAACTTCCTTTTTATTATCATGCCCAGTGTTCTTTTAACCCTTTGCTTACGGGAACCTGGTGGTCCCTGTGTTAAGCCTATGGGACCTATACAATTCAGTAGTCAACTGGTTAAGCAGAAATTTCATGAAGCTCTAGTTAAACAGATCAGAATTAAGTCCGTCTGTTCCAGCTGGTCTGTTGTGATGGTTTCATCCAGAGTGCCTTCAGAATACCTATTAAATGTAGTTGTGATTTTTGTTTTTGTCTTGCAGGTCAGAAAAACCTTCTTCGCAATAGCCTTTTGTGACAGCTGTCAGAAGCTGCTATTCCACGGCTTCCGATGTCAAACATGCAGCTACAAATTCCATCAGCGATGTGCTAACAAAGTGCCCACGATATGCATATCCACAACAGGAGATAATCTTTACAAGCTGTAAGTTTGCTTGTGACATCCTGGTATCTATCAGTGCTCCAGCAAATGCTCCGGCGACAGTCGCTCATTGATCTATTTTGTCAAAGATGTAGGGTTAAAGTTAGGGTTAGGATTGAGTTTAGTGTTAGGGTTAGGGTTAAGGTATAATATTGGTACAGGGTCAAAGTTGAAAACTGGTGGCTGTAGAATATTGACTGCGTTGTCGTTGATATGTGTGTATGCAACCGGTCAGATTATCCTTGGAGATAATCTCTCCTTGCTTGAGAGAACAGGTAAGCCATCAGGATTTTTTTTTTTTTTTTTTTTTTGGGGGGGGGGGGAGGAATTACATCAAGCCAAAAACTGCATTGCTCTAATTTTTAGATATTTTATTATCTGTAAGATCAGTACCCTATACCTCTAAATTGCATACCAGGTGATCAGTATTCAAAATGCCTAACTCTTTGGAAGTGAGGAATTTGTTGGTGAATACCAAAGTGCCTAACTCTTGATAAAACTTGTTCTCCTTGAGATGACAGTGTAAGCCTTGGTTGTTATCATACATGTTTGTGTATATATTGAGCAGAGCTGTTTTAAACTAGTGTACTTCAAGTAATGAACGAGATTGCAAGAAGGTGTATGAAATACAGAACAACTTTGCACAATGTTTGAATTTTGCACAATGTTTGAATTTTGCACATGATATGTCATCACTGTTATGTCAATTTATATGTAATTTTGATATTGTTATCCATTATGAAATTACATATTTTATCTTTGTATATATTGCCATGATAATGGATATAAATGTAAATTCAATTCAATATATTACTGACAGAAAATTAGATATGATTGTACTTGTTATTATTATCATCATTATTTAGATTATTGGCATTGCGGAAAGAAGATGACTACAATGATTATCCCGATACCTTCCCCGATGAGCCTGAATCGCCATCATCGGACGACCAAGATTTCCCAAGGAATACGTTACCACGGGAACGCTCGACATCCGCACCGAACATCTGTCAAAATGCAGTTAACGTACCTGGTCAACAGTTTGATGTAAGCGTACTTGCAAAGAGAGAAGATTCTCTGTAGAGCCAGATTACTCCAAAGAGTAAAACAGTGTTAAGATCCCAGTTATGCGTTCTGCATTTCCTAGTTTTTCCATTAAGAAATGGAAACATAATAGGATGAAGGAAGGGGTTTAGGGACCCATTTCACAAAGCCTTTTTTCAATGACAATGACAAAAATCAGTGACAAATCTGCAGATAACCAATCAGAAGCAAGGATTTCAGTAGCTTATAACAAGAACTGTCATTTGTCACTGAGGACAACTTCTGAGAAACGCCCCCCCTGGACTCAAGACGAAGTAGAAATGTATCCACAATATTTTAAAATACTGGTAGATATGGGTAAATTAACATGGGTTTATATGACAGAATAAGAATAAGAAAACCATAAACCAGGGAAAGATTGATAGACATTACAATTCAAAATAAACCTACCACATTGGAAAGGTTAAATATTGTGCCACATCATTATATTTTCCATAATATCTGTGTAGGTTTACACTATTGCATTCAATGTCACTACTTGGAGGCTTTGTATATTAGACAAATTATCGATATAAACCTTGAAATGTCTCTTTCTTTCTTTCTCTCTCTTTCTCTTCCTCTCTCCTTGTCACTCTCATACTGTATATCTAATTTACTTTTACACATTTCTTTTTGTTTTGCCACTTTTTCTTTTTTTCAACAGAGTGAAGCTTTTTCAAGATTTGCTTTTCCAGTGAAAAGCTCTCTAAATCCAAGTGAGTTATTGTATTCAGTTGCCTATAGCATTCCTATGTATTTGATAGCGGTGAATTTAGTAGTGATAATTTCTTAGTATTGATAATTAAAGCAAAGGATTTTTTCATGTACTAAAACCATTGTGTTGAAAGTAAAAGATTGGTTATAGAACCCTATAACCTAGCCATCAAACCAAATATTCTTCAGATGGTTGACCATTGTTAGAATATAAATATTATTGAATCAGTGTAATCGTAATTATTACCTATCTGATGTCATTGAAAATAATAATTATTGACCTTTTATTTGTGATAAGATTGCATGTTGGATACATGCATGCCTTTAGAATCTGCATGGATCTTGTTTTCTTTCTTTCTCTCTTGGTTCGAATCATGACAATGTTGTCTTTCTTGGCTTGAATCATTGTCTTTGTTGATTCAAATCTTGACAATATTTTCTTTCTTGGTTTGTATCAAGATAATGGTATCGTTCTATGTTCGATTGTCATTCTTGGTTCGAATCATGACGATGGTATCATTCTTTGTTCGATTGTCATTCTTGGTTCGAATCATGACAATGTTGTCTTTCTTCGATCAAATCTTGACAATAGTGTCTTTCTTGGCTTGAAACGTGACAATGTTGTCTTTTTTTGTTCGAATCGCAACAATTGTGCCATTCTTGGTTCGAATCATGACAATGTTGTCTTTTTTGGTTCAAATCGCAACAATTGTGACATTCTTGGTTCGAATCATGACAATGTTGTCTTTTTTGGTTCAAATCGCAACAATTGTGACATTCTTGGTTCGAATCATGACAATGTTGTCTTGGTTCGAATCATGACAATGTTGTCTTGGTTCGAATCATGACAATGTTGTCTTGGTTCGAATCATGACAATGTTGTCTTTCTTGGTTCAATCAGGATAATGTTGTGCATGTTAAGAAAAGTCTTTGCTCATGATTGCATGTTGTTGCATGTTATTGTCATGTGGGAAAAAGCCTTGTCCACACACAACATGGTCAATAAGCTAAGAGAAAACGCTGATGAAAAAACGTATCTTATAACACAGAGATGATTTAGTACATCTAGCTGAGGAAAAAATACACTGGGGCTTGGGCGAATTTGCCCTTCGAAATGCCAAAAAAAGCCCGCGAACTTTATAAAAAAAGCCCTTGAAAATTTGCATAGAGTTCAATGCAAAACAAATTAAATAGTGTTATTTTCATGCAAGTAAGCTTTAAAAGTAGCCCCCGAAATTGTTTAAATATTTTTTTCCCTGACATCTAGGCACCTCTGGGGCATGTACATTGTAGCTTCTTTTTACCCCACTTTCCATTTGTTTATTGTTTCATTTTGCCATGTTGGATTACTATCCCAGGCTGAACAAGGCTTTAGTATTGTAAATTTTATGTATCTTGAAGATTTTTATGCCTCCGTAACGAAGTAGCCGGAGGCATTATGTTTTCGGGTTGTCCGTCCGTCCGTACGTCCGTACGTCCGTACGTACGTACGTACGTACGTACGTCTGTACGTACGTACGTCCCGTTCTCGTGATCACGTTATCTGAAGAACTGGTTGATGGATTCCTGCCAAACTTTGGTCATGTATGTATCTTGTAGAGCCGATGAACTGATTAGATTTTGGGGTTACGAGGTCAAAGGTCAAAGGTCACAGGGCTCATTATGTATGCAAAACGAGCTCGTGATCGCGTTATCTGAAGAACTGGTTGATGGATTCCTGCCAAACTTTGGTCATGTATGTATCTTGTAAAGCCGATGAACTGATTAGATTTTGGGGTCACGAGGTCAAAGGTCAAAGGTCACAGGGCTCATTATGTATGCAAAACGAGCTCGTGATCGCATTATCTGAAGAACCGATTGATGGATTGCTGCCAAACTTAGGTCATGTATGTTACTTGCAAAGCCAAAAAACTGATTAGATTTTGAGGTCACGAGGTCAAAGGTCAAAGGTCACAGGGCTCATTATGTATGCAAAACGAGCTTGTGATCGCGTTATCTGAAGAACCGATTGATGGATTGCTGCCAAACTTAGGTCATGTATGTTACTTGCAGAGCCGATGAACTGATTAGATGTAGGGGTCACAAGGTCAAAGTTCAAAGATCACAGGGCACATTATGTATGCAAAAACAGCTCGTGATCGCGTTATCTCAAGAACCGATTGATGGATTCCTGCCAAATTAGGTCATGTATGTTTCTTGCAGAGCCAATGAACTGAGTAGATTCTTGGTTCATAAGGTCAAAGGTCATGGGCTCATTATGTATGCAAAAATAGCTTGTAATCACAATATTCTGAAAACCTGTTAATGGATTACAATTGAACTTGAATTTGAAAAATTTCTTCTGTTTTGGTTTGTAAAATTGCTCTATGACGGAGGCATCATTTTCGACTGCGCGCAGTCGAAGTTCCATCTAGTTGTTAATTGTTTGTGTTAGCATCACTTGACATAACTGGACACAAGAAGAATATTTAATATTGTTACAAAAATGGCAAACATATGGGGTCGTTTGTACGGGATTACATGTCACTGTCATTTTAGCATGTATTATTTTATCAAGATAAGTCTTCTGAATATTTAGTTGTTATCCTTGCTAGACTTTCTACACACACACATATCATCCTACATCATTTACATTTTGTGATAGTTCATTGTTGAAGAAAAAAAAGTTACTTACATTATAAACTTTATAGTTTTATTTAAGACTTGTACTTATACTACCGCAATTGATTGATGCCCTTAAAAAGTCTTGAACCAGATGTAAAATTAGAGGAAAAAACCCTAGAAATTATGATCTTTAGATCATATTTTTCCCTTTAATAATGAAGTATCAAAATTGTTTAATTCTGTTGATTTGTGACCACGATTTGTACGTCTTTTGAGAGACCAATATTTCCCATAGTTCAAGTCCAACTTAAGTCGATCTTAGTCTTGGTGAAACACTCCCCAGGCTTTTCTAGTAGTTGAGGAACATCCATTACGAGGGAATCAACATTACTTTCTTTCGTTCAAATCCTTTAAGAAAGGGATCGGAATTGTCTTGCTACTGTGAGTGATGATGTTGGTACATGTAAAAGCAGGATAACAATTTCTTGGAATCGCTGGGTGATCACTTTCATATTCATACATATGCAAACCTAACATATATCACTTAAACACATATATTTCTAACTAATTTCTTTCATTTTTCATGCTGTAAATAAAACTTATGTGGTATTGTTTTTATTTTTCATCTTTTTTTAAATTCTTAGTTTCTGTTCTTTTCTTTCCATGATTAATCCAGGTCTTTATAATTGAATATTCATAAATCTAGCTTTTCTGCTAACTTTTTTTCCGTCTCTCTTCTTTTCTTTATTTTTTTTTGTTATCCACCAATATCTTCCCATCATGTGCATACCCATCTTCCTTTTAATATCTTCTTTGATAAATGCTGTCTCATATTATACCTGCCTCTAACACAATTTTGTTCATTCAACCATCTTTCTCCTAACCTCATATGTTATTATATTGATGTCGCACTTTGCTCTTTTCTGAATATTCATCTATGCAACAAATAATAAATAATATGTTGAGAAATGTACTTTATTCTTTGCGCTTTTTTGCTGGTCTTCTATATCACAATCCACATTCCTTAACCTGTTTTGATTATACATTTTTTTTTACTTTTCTTTTATTACTTACTTCATCATATGCTTTCTATGTATTCCATCTCCATCCTTTAACTTTCTAATTATCTCATAAATTGATTAACAATTCTCTCTCTCTCTCTCTCTCTCTCTCTTCCTATCCCTCTCCCTCTTTTTCTCACTCCCTTTTTCTCTCTTCTGCCTTACCCCCCTCCATCTCTCCCTCATTTCCTCTCCTCGCTCTTTGCAACCACCATCTAATTCACCTGCCCATGTCCACCTTTTATCTTCATCCCCATCCTCATCTTCTAACTCCGCCTCTCCATTTACTCCATCCCCCTCCCTCCTCGCATTCCCATCTGCCATGCTGTCTGTCTGTCTGTCCGTCTGTCTGTCTGTGTGCTCAGATGGACACACTGCTAGCGCCGCTGTTAACATCCATGGGGCTCACGGCGGTGGACATGGCAAAGTGCTAACCCCGAACAGTGCCGTTCAGGATGGCGTCTTTGACTATGACCCCACTAACATCGCCAATGGTGAGTTGCCTTGGTAACACTAACACTTTCACTCTCATTCATTCTATCTTACTAACGCAGCTTATCAAAACTCATAACATTGGTAGCAGGGTCATCTCTGGTGACACGACACATGCTCTGGGGGGTGTTTCACAAAGATCCTAAGTAGCGCTTAACTCTAAGTTGGACGTGTAGCCTTAAAATGAAATATATTCAAAAGTAGAAATTCAATTATTCAAGACTTTTCTTAAATTCTACATCAAGAACATGAAATCTCCTTGATAATAGAAAATATGAATGATTTTAATGAACATTTTATGCCTTTTAAAACAACTTAGAGATAAGTTCAACTTAGGATCTTTGTGAAACACCCCCCTGGTCACCCTTGCTCCAGGATTCATTCCGTCTCTAATATAGGGTTAGGGTTAGGATGAAGAAGATGGTGTAAGGACCAGGGTTGAAGTTCGAAATTCAGTTTATGCTAGAAATTGACTGCAGAAAAATTGTTGCCCCAAGTATGTGTCATGGAACTATATTCTGGGGCATCCCCTTTCTCCCTTTGTGTGGTATTGCCAAAATTTGGTCTGTGACTTCATGATGAATGAATAACGGATTGGTATGCAAAAAAGATGGGAGGTCTTTCACGGAATCCTCGTCAAGTGAAGCTGTTTTCAGGTCTTGATGTCATGGCTGAGTTAGCGAAATGGGCAGTTGTCTCATAAACAACAAAACACAGGTTCAACACTAAGATGGTGTGCTGATACTCTGAGCTGAGATATTTATCCTCAATTACCTAGTCCATCTAATGGATGTAGTTACACATCCCTTAGAGTTGAATCACATGTTTATTTTTGCTCTCGCGTTTGAGGGTTATTATCTGTGCTTTATTTTGTATTATATCAGCCTTCATTCTGTGCCATGTTGCATACAAAATGAAATTGAGAGATCTCTGCATTAGCCAATCCTAATGTAAGTTGTGGGAGTTGCATTTTGAAAAAATTAAAAATCTTGATTATGCCCACCATCAATGATAACCAACATACAGACGCAAGTTATATGAATCGCATCCAAATCCTGCTTTATTCTTTAATAAATCATTGCCAATAGCCAGCTAATCATTGGCTTGGTCGTTTTAACATAACATATCAACTATCCTATTTATTCTTTGCTCATCAACATTAACGTAACATCACCCAGTGGCTGCATTTGATTCTTTAAAAATTGTTAATCAATATGAGCGTTTCCACTTCCACCAGAGAGCATTTTTCCAGTTTATCTGCTAGTTAGTTACAGTGTTCTGAGGTGTATATTAAGAGGTTAACCTTGAAACCTCTCTGATGTGTTCATGTCTAGATGGATACATGAAATGGGGAATATATAAAAATGAGCATATATCTTAAACAGCAACATGATACGCAAGATACACATCAGCTGTGGAAAGACCAGTACATAGCCTAGTGACTGATGAAAGATAGTGGTTGACAAATCATACGAATCAACTTTCAAAACATTTTTGTCACATCATTATTTACCATACAAATTATTACACCAATACCCTGATGATGACTTGGACTATGCCATAATGTATGGAATTTACAATGACACTGTATACACAAATGTGTAAGGTGACCTCTTGGCTGTCCAATTTAGCCAGGGCATTTTCTGTTACGAAAATGATACAGAGCAGAGTTCCAGTACATAATACACACACAAAAGTTGTGTTGAATGTGCTATCCTGGACTTTGGGTATGTTAGAGTATAGAATATATGCGATGCCTGGGTAAGAAGCAGTTTGCTGTCAGCACATTCAGATCCAGTTTGCAATTGAATGGTGTAGTGCCTTGGTGCATGCCATTCAGTTTAAATGCTCTTTCATTGAGAAGAAGAAAAAAAGAGAATTATATGGAGCTGAGGTGCCCCTGAAGCATTGGAATGGTATGGCATGGTATATAGAAAAACGTATAAATCTATAGCAAAACAGCATGACTGTATTGGGTGATGAATTAGTTCAATTTGTTTGCATCCTAGAAGTAAGGGATAGAGCAACGTCGATCTGGCGCTGCTCAGTGGCTGCCGGGCTCACGATCAATTGGGCTAAAAGAATTTCCATTTCTGTGTAATAAAATTTGGAGTGGACTATTAGGCTATTATTATTATTATTGATTATTATTATAACAGAACTTCACAGTGTTCTACCATGTTCAACAAGTAAACCTGAATGAGTTGATGCCGAACATAGACATCACTTTGATGCAAACAAGTTTTCATGGACATTGATTTCATGATTGGTTAAGAGCTCTTGTATTATTGACTGGTTGCCACTTGAAGATCCAAGATCTAATCTCTATATACCTCTTCCTTTCCACCCTTAACTCTTTATTCTTGTCAATTTTCTTCTTGTATTAAAATTCCTCTTTTCATGCTTCCCACAGGCTTAGCGTCTAGTTTACCGAACACTAGGAACTTGATACACAGTCCAAAAAGAGAGTCTGGATCGCACAGTTCCCAACCCTCCCCCACCCATCAGCCTAGGTGGAAGGACGTCCTTCCTGGCTCTGACTCTAAGGATAACAAGATCAAACCTCCCACCACATTGCTAGGTCATAGGGTAAGTACAGACAGTAGATATTTCTTGAGAACTTGTAGATGATAGTACCTAGTCAGAACAGAGAATGTTGGTCCTGTAGTTGACACCCCCTCCGTCAGCCTAGGTGGATGAATACCCCATCTGGCTCACATGCACAGGATAGTAAGATCAAACCTGCCGTGTTGCCCAGTTAGAAGGTAAGTAGAGATGATAGTTCTTTGATTGGACCTTCTAGATGATAGTATATACTCTGAACTATTGGGCTGGGTCTCACAATTCTTATCCTTCCCCCACCAGTCAGACTTTGAAGACCACTCTGCCTCAGACACTGAGGATAGTAAGTTCAAATCTATCACATTGCTGGTTCATAAAGTAAGTGTAGACAATACATACATGATGAGAAGTACCTGACAATAGTTCATGTTCTGAACAGAGAGTAAATAGGTTCCATAATTTGCAGCCGTCCTCCACCCATCAGCCTAGCTGGAAGAAAGCCCTGTCCGATTCAGCCACTAAAGACAGCAAGATCAAATATTGTGAGTGGAAAGAAGATGTATTCTGATGCGAAAATGCTTGATGATAGGACATAGTCCTTACATAGTGTTTTGGTGTCACAATGCCAAACTGCCCCTACTAATAATGCCCTATGTACATTATCATATTGTCATCAGACTGCTCTTTTAGAACGATTTGTGCTCATGACATTTAATTATCCTAGACTCAACCTTTGTCGTTTCAGAGGACAAGAAGAGATTCCAATGACGACTGGGAGATACCAACTGAAGAGATTAGGTTAGGATCAAGGATAGGAGCAGGATCTTTTGGAACTGTGTTCAGTGGACAATGGCATGGTAAGTTACTTTATGTTGTTTATATCAGAATGTGGAGTTTTCCAGGGTTCTAGAAGTATAAGAAAATCTTAATTGAATTGTTTAGTCACTAAAAATAACTGACCTCAAAACCACCGTAAAGATACCAGTTAGGATTTTTTAATGTAAGTCCGATTGTGAACAAGGAATTTCTCAGCTTAAAAATGACTAAACTCTTCACAATTTAATTTTCCTGACTCATTGAAGAAAAGAAAACAAAGTGAAGAATGTTTAGTCATCAAGAATGTTCCTTTACAGGTATTTAAAGTCCCTAGTCTACTTAAGCACTCTGACTCCCAAATAATTGTGCAGAGTGATTAAAGGAGGATTAGAACTCCATGTTAATTTCTGTGAAAGGATTATCAGATTGTCCTAGAACTTGGCACACTAAGTAATCTTTTTTGTTTTGGTCCAGGTATCAATGCAAGAGTTTACTCTATGTGAAAAATATAAGAGATCAAAGTAAGACCAGGAGCCAGGGGTGTATAGAAATTAAGATACCTACAACATATTTGTGGCTTACAAATTCAAGATCACGCAAACATAGGTCGACAAAACACTACAAAAATACCACTTTAAGATTTTGTTGGTGCATCCACGTTATGAAAGTACATAGATGTACTGTTGCCTGTGATACAGTCTTCACTAAATAATACTTTAATGGGAAACATAAATCATAGTCTTCATAGAATGACTGATCTTTATTTACTGGTGGATGCTACAGAACTGTTACTGTAATTATGTGGATGATATGTGATTAGAAAGGTGTATGTTGAGGTTGTTTTTTTCTGGGTGAAACTCAAAACTCATAATAAAATTATAAACATTGAGTTTTGTATTTGTTTTTTGTGTAACAGGTTCTGTAGCAGTGAAGAGGTTGAATGTTAAGGATCCAACTCCATCACAACTACAAGCATTCAAGAATGAGGTCGCTGTACTTAGGTAAGTTCTTTCAATGCATGTTCTCGTCAAAACAAGTCATGCTTTGTGGAACACGGTTTTCGTATACTTGATGAATAACTTCAGGTTTTCATGCCAAATAGGTTTGGTCATAAAAATGTCTCAGATATTGATTGTAAGATGACAGGGATTAAAAAGTTTCCAATGCTGTTGCTTTCAATTTAGTAATAAAACACAAGAAGATTTGTCTGATGTACTTTGTTTACCTGAAGGAATATTTGTACTGTAAATATGAAGTATATAGACAATTAATTTATGTACTGTTGATATTTATGTCCAGTGGCTATATTTATTTAATTATTTCGGTTTTTCAGAATGATTTGTGTAATAACCCTTTCACATTCTTTATTCCTTTCGGTTATTAGTGAAGTCATTTTCCCAATTATAATTACAAACTTACAAAACCTCTGCTATTTAGGGTTATGTGTTTTTGTGGTTCTGTCATTGTTGGTCTCCGTTTGTCTGGTCTATGAGACAGGGGATGTATTAGTTTGTCTCTTTTGCTGTATGGATTTCCTTTCTAGAAATGGATTCAAGATCCCACTATTTAATGTTTCTCTCAAAAACCTGAAATTTTCAAAAACTTAAATTTTACAGGAAAACGAGGCACGCCAACATCCTGCTTTTCATGGGGTGCACCTCCAAGCCCCAGCTAGCAATCGTGACACAGTGGTGTGAAGGCTCGTCACTCTATAAACATCTCCATGTTCTAGATACTAAATTAGTCATGCATCAACTTATTGACATATCAAGACAGACGGCACAGGGTATGGAGTAAGTATCACCCAACACACCACCTCTTTCATGATTTATTTAGTTCACATTGTGTACTTTTAGAAGCAATTTGATCTTAGAGCATACAACATCCTTGATACTGCTGCTTCAAGATTCGACTCTACTATCAAGTTAGAGCCAAGTGCTACTGTAATTACTGTTTACACTTAATATAGGTACATGTAGTTTGATACATATTTGTCTCTTTAAAATTCTATGAGTAAAACATATTTAGTTAGTCCTGATTCAAACATGTGTGATAAGAACTGTGGGTAGTGGCATAGTTATTATCTATCGTGTCTACTTTGTAGTTTGTTTTTCTTAGCATTTACCTCACATTTGTAGCTTGTCACACTTATTATCTTATCAACCTTCTTTGTGAAAATATTGTTTTATTTTTTTGTGAATTAACAATTCTTGTTTGTGTTTGTGTCTTTACAGCTACCTCCATGCAAAGAACATCATCCATCGAGACCTGAAATCAAACAGTATCCTTTTATCACAGTCTTTAGGAAAAAAGGCTTTTAAAAGATCAGGCTGTCTTGTCATTAGCTTTACCTTTACAGGGAGTGTAAACTGACAAGACTATGTGTCTTTCCCGTGGCCTGACTCGGGGGCCAATCAAGTATAATACGACTACGAACGACGTGACCGCAGCAATCACGTGTGTGTAACATATACAAAACCGAAGCGTAAGGAGAACCTTTGGTCTGTTTCGCGAACGCTGACCATGTAGAGATTAAGTCGTCGCTGACTACCGTTAATCAAGTCCATTCGTTTACGTGCAGTTGTCAAAAAGAAGACGTAGATGGTGTTAACCAGTATTTGCCAAGCTACACGGCCTTTAAGATCCCCTTGGTAAATTCAATTTATTTTAAAAGTATGCATTATACACAGCAAATTACTAGTACATACTTTTCTACGTGTGAAATTCTGATACATTGCTTGCATCTTATTCAACAAGAACTATTGCTGTAGATGTATTGGTTACGTAGAAGATCTTTGGTTTCTGATGGTTCTCTTGCCATATATTCCTTAACCGATGCTCTCCCTCCCACTAAGATATCTTCCTGCACGATGACCTCACAGTGAAGATAGGAGACTTTGGGCTAGCTACGGTCAAATCAAGGTGGAGTGGTTCACAGCAGTTTGAGCAGCCTTCAGGTTCAATACTCTGGATGGTAAGTGATTACTTTGGCCCCCTCAACTGCAGAATAATCCACTGTACTTTGAAAGACCCTATTCGATGAAAATACAACTTTGTATTAATGAAAAGATGAATGAACGTCAAATACAAATATAAAGGAATACAAAATAATTCCGTTTCAGTATTGCACAAAACCTTATTTTTTGCACCTCTCCAAATTACAGGTCAACAGCGGTCAAATTTGCTGCAGTTCCAGTGATGACATAATATGTGCACCCGATCGGCTCGCCTATATAGCTGAGGCGCTGCCATGCTTAATTAATGCTAAGTCATTGTGAATATGCGTACTCCACATGACCTGTACCCTCCAGAAAAAAGACTTGTTTTAATTGATGCTTAATGGTGATGTTGATTGATTGTCTTGTCCTTGTAGGCGCCTGAAGTGATTAGGATGAGGGATACTAACCCATACTCATTCCAGTCTGATGTCTATGCATTTGGAGTGGTTCTCTTTGAGTTGGTCACGCAATCTTTGCCATATCAGAACATCAAACACAAAGATCAGGTAACGGTCAAATCTTAATATTGATTTTTTTAAGAATTTGATTTGATTGTGTGCTTCTTTTCATTTTTATGCCTCTGCCAGATGCATTATGTTATCTGGTTGTCCATCCGTCCGTACGTCCCGTTCTCGTGATCCCATTATCTCAAGAACTGATTGACAAATTACCATCAAACTCAAGACATGGTGCACCCGCAAGTCTACTGTATAACTCAAGACATGTCTTGCAGAGCCAATGAATTGATCAGATGTTTGGGTCTTGAGGTCAAAGATCAAAGAGTCATACCTGTATATGAATTTTATATTTTGATGTATAGATTATTTTTACATACAATATTGGACCAACTTAAAAAGTCAATGTTATTACAATAAAGTATTCTCGATACCTTTCAAAGTAAATGATTTTTTTTTTCTTCATACTTGTACAAAGAATCCAAGCAAGTCAAGGCCATAGTTTGGAGTCATCAAAATATAACATTCATTGTAAGATTCTTAACAATATGATCCATGAGGAAAATATATACCATAATCCAAGAAAAACTTAGTACTCATGCACAGATTTTGAATAAGATTTAAAGAAAGCCGTAGCTTCAGATATAGATTTATTTTTTAAAACCAAAGAAAGCTAACATTAGTCTTGGACACATCTTCACCATGCACTATTCTAGGACTTATTCTCCGTTCTCTAACCTTTCTAACCTCTGACCTTTCTAACCTTCCGCGCAGATCATCTGGATGGTTGGGCGTGGTTACTTACAGCCGGACCTGAGCAAGGTTCGGAACGACACGCCCAAGGCACTCAAGAGACTTATCACAGACTGCTATGCGCTCAATAGAGATGAGAGACCCTTGTTCCCTGTGGTAAGCAATGCATTCATTCATACAAGGCATACCGTGATAACCTGCTCCCCGTTTCATAAAACTTTTTATCGATAACAAGTTGCAATAACTGTTATAAGCTACTCAAATTGCTGCATTTGATTGGCTGAGAGCAAATTTGTTAGAGAGTTATGAAACTTGTTATTGACTACAAGTTCTATGAAACGGGGCCCAGAAGCTTATGTGACCCAAAACTTTAACATTTTCAATGATGGCCATCTTTGCGGAGAGATTTTTCTTTCTTTTTTTGTGGAAAAAAAATGTTACGTTGTGTCAGTTGTTATTCTGTTATTTGTTATCGCATGAAACTTTCTATAATCTAAACCATTCTTGAAATTTGGCAAATATTTCATGCACAGTAAAGTTTTTCTGCATTGATGTTTTGTAAACCAGCATTTTGCTAGAATTTTTAAAAAGTGCATCACAGATTTCAGTGAAACAAAGTAAGTAAAGGGAAGGAACGGAATAGATTTTAAGTTTTCCAAATGTTTTATCTACCGTAAATCTCTGTGTATAAGACGCACCTGTCTATAAGGCGCACCCCTATTTTGTTGCCGAAAACCCATGCGGGGAAGGACCTTCATTTAACATCGAGGTGCAGTTAAAGGCGCTGATTGTGCTTGTAAACTTGTCACAAATGATAGTAACAATGTCGTTTTTAGAAGAATGTGTAAGATCATTAATGTAAATTAAAAACAATAGAGTACCTAGGTCCTAGGATAGAACCTTGTGGTACACCATTTGTTATATAAAAAAAATTGAGGAATTATTATTAGAAAGATTACTTTCAAACCAAGATGACAGACAAATTTTAGTGTTGTTGTAGTTTCCGAGTGGTTAGTCAACACTGATTACTGAGCTGGGAGACATTGCCAGGCATAGCGCCATAAACCGAAACTAAAAAAAAAATATCAAACAAAATAAAAAATGAAAAATTTCTGTACCTGGCACCCCGACTTTCAATTTTTTTTTTGGCGCCAAAAAAGTGCGCCTTATACACGGAGATTTACGGTACCCTTCATTTGTATATGAGCACAACATATGTAAACCATTTAGATCATAAACTATGTTTAAGGAATAACCCTTGACTACCTGTTGAATAGATACAGTTAATAGTGCATATTGCTCCTTTTGAGATGACTGAAGATCATTCCTCGTTCATTTATGTCCCTGTGCAGGTTTTGGCAGCGTTGGAGAGCTTGGCCAGGCAGCTACCGAAGATCCACCGCAGTGCATCGGAACCTTCGTCGCTAAATCGGGCAAGGTTACATTCAGACGATTTCATGTACTGCCCTTCCCCCAAGACCCCCATTCAAAGCCAATTTGCTGTCTTCCCATTTGACATGCGTGGATGATGACAGTTTATGCTGTGAACAAACAAAGCGAAGCGACTTGGCTTCTCACTTTTCAATTAAATGGACAATCGACTATCTATACCCCAAACTGTGGAAATGGGTATAATGTGATGAATTGTATGACATTTGAACATGAAGACGGAACATATCTTGAAATCTAGTGTCAGATAGTGGTAGAAATAAAAGCCTGGAAAGGATGATGAATCAGCATTCTTCAGGAGCTAATGTCAACTACCACAGAAATCTACCTAACAGAGGAACTTAGCTATCATGATGGAGAATATGAAATGAAATCTGTGGAATATTGAAAGAACTCTGCTTCATCATGCAACATAATTATATGAAATTTGACAAATCAAGTTAAGATGATGCACATCATAGATGAAACACTATGCGAGTCATCTTCTGGAAGACATTGTGTAAGAGATTTAAGAGATTTTTTTGAAATAATGGTGCATGGATCCTAAAGTGAAAATGGAATTTGAAGACTACAGCAAATGCCTTATGACCGACACAATAGGCAATCTGCAACCCGGCAAGATGAAGAGAAGGAGACAGATCTGTTTCTGTATGACGGAACACTGCAATCATCCAACCTGAGAGGACGCAAGTGTTAGGATATGCTGTGACAGGAAAGAAATCATCGAAATGCGGCACATCTGTAGATTTTTATCATGAAATTATCAATACTCAAGTCTTAGAGAAAAATACACACACACACCCTACGCATTTTATTGAATCCAAACGTTTCATGTAGATCATATATACAAAATACTGAACATGTATGTATGTATGTATGTAGATTAGTAAGGTCAAGGCTCACTAATACAGAAGATGCTAAGTTTTGAGGTTTATTGTATATTGTTGAATTCAAAAGTTAAACTTTAAAAAATAGTGAATGCAGGGGAAAGTGGATTGTTATAGTTTATGAATTGTAAAAACCTTCAAGTTGTATTGAACAGGCACCCATGACTCATTGCTTCATACGTGATTGCACATTAAATATACATCTGTCAATTCTTAGGTGTTAAGGGACATCCATTTCTTTCATGATTTGTTTGAAAGTCTACTCTCCTTTGGCACATGTTTTTATATATCTCATCAGGAAAGAGAGGAATTATGTGTCCTCTTAGCAATGCAAAATTCATATTCAGTCACTGTGTGAGATGGTCCACAAATATGTAAGCATTTGAAAATTAATTATGAGCCCATGATCATGATTAGATCACTGTCATTGCTGAACTTTTCTTTTATATACCCACCACCCTACATGTGCTTGCTTATGCATACAACTGACATTTATCAAACACAGATTTTACATCTGTCTATATATGATGATGATGAATCTAATAAACACATCTCTTTGCCTGATCTGAACACACTGCTTTTTAGAAGCAACCTATCTGCAGTATACTGCACCAAATCTGAACTCACAAAGAGACAAAACTATATTTTCTGTATTGGATTTATGTATTCTTCAACATAATTAATGATTATAAATCCTTGGACACTGTTTTTCATTCTGAATTAAATTGACATCTAGAATAGAGTTAGGGTTATCATTTTTTAAATTTTATTTCGAAGTCCATTTTTTAGACTCCGTTGATAGCTGATGCGCCCATATACCATATTACAGCATGAGTCAGACTTTGACCTTTTTACACTACTACGATCTCTTTGTCATCGCAAGTTGCACTTTATTTTTGTATTATTAACTCCAACATCATTTATACATTCATACTTCTGCATACTACTTAGTGAGTCTGAGTGTTATATTTAATTTGGTTTTATCTGCTTCTGATTCAATTTGAAAGTTGTGCTAACCTGACATTTTCATCAACATGGCTCAAAGTCAATCCCACAATATTAGCTCCAACATCATTTATACATTCATACTTCTGCATACTACTTAGTGAGTCTGAGTGTTATATTTAATTTGGTTTTATCTGCTTCTGATTCAATTTGAAAGTTGTGCTAACCTGACATTTTCATCAACATGGCTCAAAGTCAATCCCACAATATTAGCTCCAACATCATTTATACATTCATACTTCTGCATACTACTTAGTGAGTCTGAGTGTTATATTTAATTTGGTTTTATCTGCTTCTGATTCAATTTGAAAGTTGTGCTAACCTGACATTTTCATCAACATGGCTCAAAGTCAATCCCACAATGTTAGCACCAGAAGAAGAAAAAAAGAAAAAAAGTAATCTACAAAATAATGAAAACACACTTTTTAAATGATAACAGCACAATTTACAATGTGTTTTCTAGAAGGACTTCTTAAAATATTTTTAATAAGAGAGAGGACACAATTGTAAGACTGAATTTTTATTAATTGCCTTGAAAACACATAAACAATATTTTCCCTCTACATTTTATAATGTACATATGATCGTGCATAATTTATCCACAGATGGTGTTCCTAATTCCAAATACAATATTTATATCTCAATTCTTAGAGAAATTTTCTTACAAAATAATGAGGCATTCAGACTTGCTTGCTCGTGTAGAAGCATGACTGCGAATAGACTTTCTAATCTTGTGTGTAATGTATTTTACATGTATTGTATGTAGATCAGACTTGTGTGTACATTTACTGAAGTAGCATTCTGGAATGAATATTAGTTTGTCTTTAATCTGATATCTTATAGATTTGGGCTGGTCCCAATATTGCGTGGATTTTGAAAATATTTGACAGTAGAGAGAGCGAGAGAGGGGGGAAGAAAGAGAGAGAGAGAGAGAGAGAAAGCATCTATTTTTATTCTGTGTTGTGATCCATCTACCCACTGCATGAAATGTATCTGACTTCTGTCTGTTCTATATTTATCTCTTTTTATACATCATTAGCCCATTACATCTCACTTAGGAATAGGTTTTAATTATGGGAAGTGTCACATATTGCTTCCCATCTAGAGATATATTGGTCCAATTCAAATCGTTTATATTTATTCAAAACTTACTCCCCATAACTTATCGAAGACCAACAGCAGAAATTATAAAAGCATCACATTTTCTTGTATTTAAAGAGAGGCATAATAAATTCTACATTGTAAAAGTACATTTGATAAAAAAAATTGCATATTGTAATTGGAATACCTATAATTGAAAAGCAGATTAGGTAGTGTTATCTTTTTATGTATATTTCAATAATTTTCTCTTTAGCCATGCTAAGGCACAACCCATTATGGTCTTGATGTATTTTGGTATTTATCATTTTATTTATTCCATATTTATTGCAAGAAATGTTTTATTTTATTCAATTGAATGGTGCAGATCACTAGACAGAGTGGATTCACTGTTCTCACACCAGCAATTTTCATAAGGAATGTTTGTGATAGGGTCTGTGAAAAATAAATCAATGAAATTTGAATTCAGAAGAAGAAAAACATGCCTTATTTGTAGATGAACAAGGGTTCTGATATTTCTCACCGTCAAATCTTGAGAAACTCACTAAATTATGGTGAATTTTAAGTTATTATCTTGACTAATTTGGTAAATTATGGGTTGAATCAATTATTTTACCCTAAGTTGCTTTTTGTTAACAATGGGAAGCTGTGTTGGCATGACTCAAATTATTTATATCTGTGTATAGACTAAAAATATACTTTTATCAATGATGGCACTTGTATAATATTAATACAATGGGAGTAAGCACATACGACAGTGGCATTACCTTCAAATGCATTCAACATATTTTGCACACACATTTATTTTGCAGTAACTAAAGAGAAATTGGTGTCAAGAGAAAAATGTTGCCACTCTGATTTTCACTCATCTAAGGCACACATATTTCAGAGCACTGCAGACATTTCTCAGACACTGCATAAATTGCTCTCTGTCTGCAAATTAAGAATTAAGTATTAGTGCACAAGAAGTAATTCAACACTTACAGAAACTTTAACAAATATATTTGAGGTGAAATAGCCGCTAGTATGCTCTCTTGTTGATATGCTATCATCCATCGCAAAGATATTGTGGAATACTCAAATACAGAAATCTCTTTTATTTCTTTTGTGTAAACTAGTTTCGTTGTTGATTGGGCCGAATTCCATGACAATCCGAATTAGTAAGTTCACTTTCTATACATATCCCTGACAACAGAGGATTTTAAAATGCACTAAAAAGCATTGCATCTTTTGAATTATTTTGGTATTCCTTTAAACATGGTTCAAATCCTGGAGAATAAGCAACTCATTACCTAAGGGATGGTCATTTTAATTTGTCTGTAACTTTCTTTTTATTGAATATTTAATTCAGATGGAAATTATGCTAGATTGTATGAATGTGTTGGGATTATGTGTTTGCAATGGACAAATGGTAGAAAATAAATTGGACAAATGGACTGAAAGGAGATGATTATCACTTCTAATGGAGATGATTGAAAAAATGCTTTAGAAAGAGGAGTACATGTTTTTAAGAACAGATGTTATTTTTCTTGATTGTCAATGTTTGTATTATTTAATCATTAATTGTATTTCTTGATTTTTATGTAATTGTGTTATTTTTTCATAAATTTCAATGGCTACATTATTGCACGACCCAAATCAATTTTTTTGTTTTGTGGACTTGACAGAGATAAATAAAATATATATATCTATATATATTTGTACTTACTTTGAATACATGCACTGTTGAGACCGAATGTAAATCTTACTGTCTGATGAGAAACAAAGAAACTATTTCTATTTAATAATGCTGTAATAATGATACAAACTAACGTCAAATTTATGTATGTGCATATTAAAAATGAAAATTAACATGGAAATTGTATTGTATGAACTGAAAAGATTAAAGACGTATTGATAGTATTTGACAGATGTATAGGTTTATGAGCATTGTGTGTAAAATATTGCTATATTACTATAATAAAACAATTTATTTGCTCTGTACAGATTCTGTTTTGTAGGAAACCAAGATTTTTTTTCCATATGAAATTTATTTACTTGTTTGTTTTATTTGTGTCATCATGTATACAATGTAAATTAAACTACAAGAATTAAAGGAATGGCCTTCTTTTGTATGATTACTATGTCAGCAATTAGTTTTATCGCTCTGTAAGGAAGAGTGAACAACAGACATTGTAAAGTTTTTAATGCAAGTATTTTGTCATGGTTGACTTTGATTTTGCAAATTAAATTCTCAAATTGTAAATGCACTCTTAAAGACTCGTGTATGTTTTCCTTGTTTTCACTCTTGCTTTTCTTCTCAATGTTTTTTTCTTGCTGTTTTTTTGTTTTGTTTTTGTGTAGGACTTTGTATATGACAAAATGTTGATGGAATATAATATTCCATCAATGCAGCTATTCCCCCCCCCCCCCTTCTCTCTCTCTCTCTCTCTCTCTCTCTCTCTCACACTCTCTGTTCTCTCTCTTTATGTTGCCCTACCTCATTTCTGCCATTCCCCCTCCCATTCAATCTCTTTCTATATTTCTTTACTCAATTTGTTTCATCTCTCATCTTTCATATCTCTCTCTCTCTGTCTCTGTCTCTCTTTTTATCACTCTCTCTATCTGTTTCTTTCTCTCTGTATCTGTTTTTACCTGCTCATTCTCTTACCTTTACTCTCCCCCCCCCCCCCCCCTCTCTCTCTCTCTCTCTCTCTCTCTCTCTCTCTCTCTCTCTCTCTCTCTCTCTCTCTCTCTCTCTCTCTCCTGCCTCTCTCTCTCTCTCTCTCTCTCTCTCTCTCTCTCTGTCTCTCTCTCTCTTCATCTATTTCTGTTGTTTTCTATCTTGGGAGGTGGAGAGGGATCTAGAATGTATTCTTGACAAATTCCTTCCAAATATTTACGCAAAAAATCCTTGCAAAACAACTTTAAAATATATCCAATTCAGTCAGGTTTAGGCGGATTAAATGTCAATATTTGACGGCCCCACAGGTAGCACATTTCATGTCACAGTTAGCTTTAAAAGCCAGGCTCCTGAATTTTTGGCTGTGACCTCTTCCTCATCCTTTCACTTACAAATATTCATTCTATCCGTCTACCCAATTCATTGTATTTTATATTTTATACTCCTCTGTATCTAACTTATATTAACTTCATAGTAGCTGTCCAATTTTTATAGTCTCTTCTTTTGAATAGAGGTTTAAAATTTCCTTCTTTTTTTTTAATTATGGCTCATAAGTACTGGTGTATTTAATGGAATGAAGAAAAAATGTTCGTCAAATTTACATTTTGCTGACAAATATAAAATGCAAAAAATGCCATTCTTAACATTGAAATAATTATTGCCTCTGATGAATTTAAAATTAGTCCAACCAAACAGCAATGATAATGTAACAATGATAATATTAATGATAACGGTAATAATAATAATAATAATACAATAATAATGATAATGATAATAGCAAGAGATAATGGTGCCATTGGATATGCCCCATATTTAAAAAAAAAATGGTTTGTCTCCCTATTTGAGATGTATCTGTAGCAGCATATTTATGCCTAGTAAACACAAAGTGTATTTTGAAAATGGGATCGTTTGGCCTAAGTTGACATTTGACCAATCTGTGACCTGAATGCCGGCCTGAATGTAACCCACGTTGGTCTAGCCATGGAAATCCAGAATATAGTCCTATAAACATTGTTTAGTTGATGGAATCACCCCACGGGTTCCACTGATTCATGGGAATTGAAAATGTATTTTGGTAACTGTTTACAGCCAATAAGCAAGATGTTACCACAGAAACCTTTTTGTTTTGCAGTAATATATGGGCTCACATGTTGTAAATTTAAAAGACTAAATTAAAAAGAAGCTTTTTGCAAACTAATTGTGACTTTGATAAAGAGAAAAATGTATATCATTCATGACATTTTTACTATTTGTTCATTTTGCTGATACTATGTGAAAAATAATAATAATTTGTTATATGTGGC